GTGGAATAATTATTGCGGTTTCACGTATCATCGTAATACTGTTTACTATTGATATTTGCCTATAGAACGTTAACTAAACTCAGTCAGTGTCCTTAATCAATGTGGTATACGTTATCTAGTGAATATACATATACAGGTATTGCTAATAAGTGTATACTCAACATGCGTCCTATTGTGATGTACGCAGATACGAGAAAATGTTGAGTATTGACGTTCGTTTATTTTATCATTTTTTCCCTATGATACAAATTATTTCCTCTTGTTTTCTGCACGATGGTCTGATTCAGCTAAATTGACATTTTGTTATCTATATATTTGAAATGTGATACGAGAGGTCCAAGTATAGATTATTATTAGGATCAATATTTTGAAAGTTAATTAAACTGGTATTTTCATAGGATTGTCGTTTTTATTTCCTTTTCATGTGCAAGAGCGAGTCACCTAGATTCTGTGACACTAAAAGGTTACTATGTGCAATGGCGTAAGTGCGGAACTAGTAGGATATTTTTATCGAGTACTTGAACGTTATCATAGAGGCTTCCATCGTACGAGACTGCACATCGATATTGATATGCTGTGAAATAACATTTTTTAAACAGTTCTCAGGTGGATGTCTCATTAAATTTTTATTCGAAATTTAATAAATAAGTGAAGAAGCTAATCTTAATGGAATGAAAACACAGAAGAAGTAACGAGGAAATTCTTAATAGTTAATGAGTTTGATCTTTCAGTCCTGATTTTTCTTGTCACTTAACAAAAATTTTAATCTTCGTTATTTGAGGTTTGCAATACATTTCTGCATATCTATAGCTTCATTTATAAGGTTATTGGAACTTTGAAGAACTTTGGCCTTTCGATATTACAGTGCGTTATTCAAACTCAATTTTGTAGTTAAATCTAAATTGCTTATGAGAACGTAATATGTATTTGCATTCAGAATATAGGACATTTTATACGTACACGTGTATAAAATTCGTGACGTATACTGACATATAGTAAAATAACTTTTCTATACTTTATACTCCCATGATGAAATTCGTAATTTGATTAAAGCAGGAAAGGTCAAAGTTAACAGTTGCGGAGACAGTAGTTACACACACGGATAAAAATAAGGTTAGAATTTCGTGCACAAAAGGCTTGAAATCTGAGTATTCAATCTCCGAATTGTATGACACGTGCAAACACATGAAGATTATGGCAATCATTCATATATGAACGAAATAAGTAATCAAGTCATACTTAATGCATAAGTTAGTATATTTCTGAGTCGCTATCATACACTATATGTATTCCATGATATACAGCGAAGCTCCATTTTTTCCTGCGTACGAATGCAGATGGATTCCGTATACATACTTTTTTTACAGTTATATCTATGTTCAAGCATGAATGGCTTTGACTAATAATTAAAATGAGCATCATTGAATACGCGAATGATTCAATTATTATTCCGTTTGAAGAAATATCACTTAGCTTGGGGCATACAGTTGCGATCGTGCTTTGTTAGCAAACTTATTACAGATTTGCTTTCATATATTTCATAATGCACAAAATTTAATATGCGATCATTCAAATTTGTTTCATGAAACTATAATTTGCTAGTTTTTATGTAATTATTAAATCTATACGTAAAACAATATCACGCATGTACCTTTCGTGATGAAACTTTAACGAAACTATAGGAACGTCATTACGTCATTTTACTTAAAAAATAAAAATGAAACAATTCACCAGTAATTTGAATGCTCGCGCATACAAAATTTTTTTTATTACAAAGAACAAATATCTATTGTATGCACGTACATAAAGTATAGTATCAGTTTTCGTTTCAATTCTATGTTTAACTTGAATCAGAGCATATTTTCTTTTCACATTGATTCTTTCTTATAAAACATGGTTAATCCCATTGTTACATTACGTTTAGAAAAAGTGTACAATGAAAGAAGAAGAGTCGTTTGGCAAATTGAACAACAGTCTTGACATTATTTATATCTGAGAACCATGTTGGTTATGACTCTAATGGGGAAGATGTCGCAACATTCAATATCGTTCGTGATGATTTTTCGTGCGTGATACCAATCAGTGAACAAACATGAGACACGAAAACGGTTAGAGGTTAGGTACTAACGAAGTACCTTACTACGGACGAGGTGATGAAAATGAAGACGAAGAAGAAAGGGTGGAGAATCTAAGCAGAGGATGAGCGGATTCTTCAATTCGTTGAAGAGCCTCGCGTCAGGAGCCGCGAATGCTGCATCCAAGTATCAGGAGCAGGAAGGTAAAAATTGTAACCCAAACATCAGTATACGTATACAGGAAGCAAAATTTATGCATTCGTTGAATTTTGAAGATTTTAACAAAAATCTTTGTAGATATTTATTCGATGATGATTTTGTGATTTAGCATGATTATTATTTTTAGTAAAAAAATTTTGATCTTTCTTCATGATTTTTATGTTATACTTACACTGCCTGACTGAATTATTTTTTATTGCACGCATACTTGGTTTAACTCTGAGGTAAATTGCGTTGTTCGGTTCGCGATGAACTGTTAATTGTTTGCTGGGAATATATTCATAAGTGCTAATAATTTACGGAATCGTAACCCTCCATTTTACTTGTAAGCTTTGCTTTTGGTCCACATCTCATTTCCAACTCTGTCGTTGTCAAGTAGTAACGTTTCTTCACATATGGATACCTACTTGCGTTTATGAGAAGGTTAATTTCCATCATTAAGAATTTTATTTCTAGTTTATGTGCCCTGATTGCCACGCTTCGACTTGGACCTTGTTTTCCTCAATGCAACGAAAGTTCGTTTTTCTTTAATGCCGATACTAAATACTATTCATAGCCTAGACATCGATAAATCCCCGTGGGCTATCTGGAATCTGGCATTTGTGAAAGGCTCGTATTACCTGTTTGTCCGTTTGCATTTATATTTGTCAAGCATTGCCTTTTTCTTTGCATATAAAATATCACTTGCAAAGGTTCTACGTGAAATCTAATAATTAATACTGGACCTTCTGTTGACGACGGGCAACAGGCTTACAGACTCACAGGATCTGCTTTTGGTTCACTTAGTATTCTATTATTCATCCATCGAATAGCTTCATGGGCGGATATTTTCAGTTTGTACCTTCGATAATGGAAAAAAAACTCTTATGCAACTATATCTTGTAGCTCCATAGCTCTTATGCAGTATTTTAATGTCTTTACGTATTTTAGAACTTGTAGTCAGGTATTTTTTTTTAATTTAACGTTTGTTCTTTTTTTTTTATTAAGAATTTTTAATTCTCACGTTTAAGTCTTTTTGGTTAGTAATTTTAATGATTAATCATTCTTTGAGCTACTGCTTAGCTATTAGAATCTTCTGGGCATAAGGTTCGTAAGTACATGCTTATATGAAATAAATTTACATTATTTGCCACTTAGATAAGTATACCAGGCAATGGTAACGTGAATGTCATTGATGTTTAATTTAGTTTATATACCGTACCATAAATTTTAACATATGATGGTTCTTTGATTAGTCTTTTGATAGTATTATAAATGGTTTTCGTTCAGATTGTATTGCCACGAGCAGTGATTATCGTTGACTTTATTTATTAAATTTTACGATTACTTTCAAATCTACGTAGAACATGTATCGTTTATTAATCATATAATTTATACGATAATTTAACAAGTTTTTTTGGAAACGAATGTTGATATCTAGGAACGGATCGGGGACGTCTCGGTTGTTTTTTAGTTGTACATTTCTTTTATTTATTCACTCAAATCAATGGACATTTGATATAATTTTCATATGATTGTTATAACCTTATAACATACATGAGCATTAACTTGCAGCAGATGATATGCATATCGATATCATGTACAATTTATGCGAAATAATTAGCAATGAGTTTACAAAATGAATTTGAAAATACTGTGATTTATTTATAAAATGTATTACCCGCATCGCCGTAGGACGTAACCTCAAATATTTTAATTATCATTATACGTATATATTGATTAAGGTAAAAGATATATAGTGTTGGCTATGGGAAGCGCTTGATCAAATACTTTAAGGAGGTCACAATTTTTTTTCGTCTTTCAATAAATATCCATTCTGTCTATTTTGTATTTATAAAGATATACTATTTGCATACGATGTTAAATTAATCACCATCCTGTAATAATAAACAAATAACAAAGCTTTAATGAGAGCTTGGATTATATTATTATTCTGCGTGGTAATAATATTGCGACGTTAATTGAATACGTCACCATCTATTTAACGAAAGCTCATTAGCTATTTGTGAAATATTAGTATAAATTCTTTTAGTGAATTTAATTAATTTTCAGAGCTCGCATTTTATACAATGTAATCAGTACTCGAAATCAGTATTTAGTGATCTACCGTGATAGGTAAATCTTTGACTTGTTTGTATGATAAAAATAATGCGGCGCGTGTGTGATTGCGCAATAAATCGTAGGTTGGTAATAACGATTTCTATTGATGCCAAATATTTCTATTCTCAATCCATGTGTACCAAAACCCGATAGACCTCGGCAAAGTCCTGTGAAAAAGTTTCTATCTCAAAATTATAAAATTGTATGAAACGTTGCTAAAAAGACAGTCAAATTTCATACTATCTCGTCTTAATCATTTTAAATGCCGTAATGGCGCAGCATATACTATATACCATATGGAGACAATAGCGGACTCGTCTGGGTTCCGCCATGAGTTTTATTCAGTTGGTAGCTTATAGAGGGCGCTGTTGAATTAATTATAATCCAACTCTAGCATATAGTTCTCTGTACAGCGATAGTACCGTGAAAGATCGTAAATCATTGCAATATTTTGTACATCTAAAAACTTACTATCGGATCCGATTATCACTCTTCGATGAGATATTCACTATTAAAGGAAACCTATAAATGTCAAAAATTCATTGATTGCTTTAATTTCGAGTTCAAAAAAGATTTTCTATATACACGGTGACGTTTAATTTTCAGATGAAGATACGAGGATGAAATTTAGCGTGGTCCCTCAGCCAGGAGAGAGTGGTTTCACGCAATGGCTAGATGCCATGAAAATGGTGGGTCGACTTCCGGGTGGCATACCGCCAGAATTCCGAAAAAGGGTAAGTAGTTTCACGATGGTAAAATTTGTAGAAAAATTCCGTTTGTCACGCAAAGTGTGAATGACAGTGTTGACTTCGTATGGTTATTTTTTTTACTTCGTCTATTTTTTTTTAGAAAACCCGCAGAATAAAATATCGGGATATGTGTTTTCTAAGCAATTGAAGATTTTACAATTGCTTACACATTGAATTTGGCTAATCGCCAGGGTACTATTGAGCTCCCTCAGGATGCGCATCGGGAAATCTCACGTTACTATATAGTTATGTCAATAATGTCGAAGTCGCATGAATTTTCAGGCTTTAATGATTTACACAACCGTGATGTTATTCTTAGGGTTCTCCTTACAAAGTGAAGGAAAGTAATTTTATTTTTCTTACAGTTATGGCTGATACTGGCGGAACGCCACCTGGAGCAACGTGGAGTGGATTGGAGACAGGCTGAAAAAGTCTGTTTTAACGAGTGGAGTAATCCTGACGATGAGGAACTTGGGATACAGATCGTAAAGGTCGGTAAATTGTATGGCATTTTTTATTTTGCGAGATACAGTACTAAATTTTTTACTGTCCTGAAAAATATTGTCAAATTTGAAGAAATTTGAAGAAATTAGTTTTCTCCATTCTTGTCAGGCTATTTGTATGTTATCATTCATCTATCGGGTGGGATCTTGGGATTTTCATATATGGGATGACGTCGCTCGAAATTTTTAACTAAGGACCTAAATTCTTCAAACCTGTGGCTCTTTTGTAGCGAACAATGAGAATGGATGGATTGGCAAGGCTGGCGTAAAAAATTGTCCATTAATTGAACAATCGAGTCACTCAATAGAAATGTATGGATTCACGTTGTTTTGTGACGAGACATCCGACCTCAAAGTATTTCATTAAAATTTGAATTCATCCAAGGAATTACGCGGAATTGCATATCGATTATATAGGTCCTCCTGTTCATATTATCTCTGGAAGCCTTCCAATAATCCCATTACCTTTGTGCACTCCTGGCTTACCATTCTTGGCCTTCTTGGTAACTTTCCCATAAATGGATATGGCAATTTCTACATAGTTATGCGCGTTCTGCTTTGCACGCTTTATTTTCCACTTGGTAGTCGGCTCCTTTAGTTTCCGGGTACTTTCGATAATTTTCTCATTTGATACTTGCAAGCTTGTTTTCAAATCAGCATAACTTTACAGTATAAGATGCACTGTTCCTGTTACATAAATTTTAAATGTACGATTCCATTTTATGCTTTCACAAATAAAAATGTACAATCGTTCCTTTATAATGTAGCACTCTTCGTGGCTTTGATAGTACTAGACAGAATAGAAAAATCTCGTTACTAGAGCTTCACTTAATATGATGAAGGAATTAATTTGTAAATCCGTACAACATAAAAGTCTTGAGAACGTTTGTAGGACACCTCTGGGACGTTTTTTGAATTTTTGGATAATGTCTAAATTTGTAGAAATTTATAGTAGCGGTATCAAAAAATTCGAAATTGATACAACGCTTTTTATGCAGGATCTACATAGGACTGGCTGCAGTCTATTTTGCGGCGCTGCTGGTAGAGATAATCAGGCTGTGCTACGTCGAGTACTTCTTGGCTTCGCTCGTTGGAATAAATCCGTGGGTTACTGCCAAGGCCTAAATGTCCTGGCCGCCCTGGTTCTGCAAGTAATGGACCGCGCGGAATCGTCTGCCGTTAAAGTCATGATCTATCTGATAGAGGGCGTCTTACCTGAGGGCTACTTTGCTGATAATCTACGTGGGCTCTCCGTGGACATGGCAGTATTTCGTGATCTTCTTCGTATGAGGTTGCCAAAGCTATCACGACACCTGGAAGCTCTGCAGAGTGATGCAAAGGATAAGGCAACTGGTAAAAAAGATAAACCATTTTTATGATATCAGACAAGAAGGATAATTCTTCATGTTATATATTTACTCTTTAATATATTTTTTTGTATCACGATATATGATATCGCATATTGGACTCATAACGAAAATCTCACGTCAGTAATATATTTCTACAAGTATCTATCCAATTAGTTACCAACTGCCATAATGTTGTCTCATGGTGAAGTATAGCTAGTACCTTTTTAAATTCACCTGGGTGGAACCATTTGAGCACGTATAGTATCAAGCTGTTCAACGAGTGGGTGTGATCGTGCAATTCATTTTATTCGCTCACCTTTCCAACGAGGGTGCTTGGTATAATTGTTTCTTTTCCCCAGGTAGCAGCTACGAGCCACCTTTGACGAACGTGTTTACAATGCAATGGTTTCTCACTCTTTTCTGCCACTGTTTACCCCAGGAAGCAGTACTTCGGGTTTGGGACTTGATATTTCTGGAAGGAGATGAAGTCTTGCTGAGAACTGCTCTCGCCATTTGGGAAGGACTGGCCGAGTATGTGATTTCGATTTAAATACTGTTTGCTATTATTAATTGATCACGCTTCTAATTACGATTTTTTATTTGCAGCCGGATCATGACTGTCACTTCTGCTGATGAATTTTACAGTATCATGGGCGTTCTCACGAGAGAGATGCTGGAATTCACTGATACGAACAATCTAGTAAAGGTAGGATTTAGTTTCAGTTCTGTATTAAGATTATCAAAGTATGATATCAGATATATCTTAAAATAGAAGCAAATGAGAGATGAATGCCTTTGAAGTCGATCGTTATTTGACGAAACTTATTGACTAAGGAAAATATATTTTCTTCTTCTGGGTTTTATAGCGCAAGTTCTTATTTTCTTTTTCATACGTATTTATCGAATGGTATATCGGAATATATCGATAATGTGAAGTATGTGTTACATTGGAGGAACGAAGAGTGTATGAGAATTTTAATCTGTCAAAATTTACGATATAGTACAGTTTTTATCGACTTTTAGATTATTAATATTTATTCAATGACTTTCTAGGCTATAGTCAGCACGGGACCGTTGTCAGGACTGACTAACCTTAGAGAAAAACATCGATATAATATTACACCGTGGGCACGAAGATTGAGCGATGATGATGAAACTGACACAGAGGAGGAAGAAAGATTGGCAGTAGCTGCAGCCATGTTCGGCTTGCAACGATCAAAAAAAGGTATATATTTTTATCAATATATTTTGCATACACTTCAACGATATTTCTAAATGTTCAGACTTATCGGATTTGATTATTTAAAGCAAAGTGATAATAGAGTTTGCTAGATTGTTAGTCAATATTTGTATTCTAAATAGTACGAAAAAAAGATGTATAGCGTGTTATTTAATAGGTAGGTCTGCATGGTTTGCAATAATAAAGGTTGAATTTAATAAATTTAATTGTAAATTACTTGTTTATTAATCCACGAGTAGGCACACGGGGTGTCTGATACACCCCAGTTCAATGCATTTTAAATAACTAATAAAATGGCGCGACCTGTCTCGAGTTAATAGTAATACGTGCACCGAAAATATTAATTTTGGAATTCGTTTACAGTAGTTTGTCTTTCGTGCTTGCCTCCAGGCGCACACACAACGAAGCATTAAAAATAAATTAATACAAGACTCGCATTAAATCGTTGCATGAATCGTAACCAAATCATGTTTTTAAATTGTTAGCTAACATCTTTATAAATTGCGCGATAGAATTTATGCATAAAATATTAAGTTGCTATGAATGTAATGTTTATTACATTGCAGATCGTGCTTCGTCATCTATAGGACCGTTACAGGCAGTGGTATCTTCCGGCGGTGATAGAGAAAGATTAGCCCTGGACATCAGTACACTGAAGCAACAATACGCAAAACTACGAGAGCGTCAACGTCAAGCGCACATAATACTTTCCGGTAATAACACTTATGGGGATTTTGTCAATGAGAACAAAATTATTTTTAAAAAACTTCAAAGTCGTTTCTTCAGAACAGAGTAATATTTAAAAATCTAATTTAAATTAAATTAAAAGCAGAAATTAATGACACTTTCTGACAGCTGCCTGTGCCAGACAGTCCATGGTGTCTGCATCGACATCCCAAGCAATGAATCATCTTCTGGTAGGCAAGAGTGCTCTGGTCAGTGGTAAAAATCGCCAATTGGGTCCTCCACCTGGTGCAATACCTCCGAAGCCAAAGCACATGAGCACCCTTAATAGTCCAAGAAGTCAGAATCGCAAGGACAAGCAGGGTGTGACTTTGCACTGGAAAGACACAAAGAAGCGGAAAGAGAGCAAGGATGAACCACCGGGTAGGAACATGTTATTTTATCATCAGAGGTATTTAGTGAATGCTGCATTTCCTGAATGTCAAACGATGTACAATGTGCGTAAGCGAATCATTTTTAGGTGCTTTAGAAAAATTTGCCATATATTTATTGATGAGCTGAGAATCGACCATTTCATTGAGACCAATAAAGCCATCAGGGGATGTCTTATGAAATTTTTGCGCGTCCGTGTTATCCTTGTGACCCTTACAGCACACGTCTCATCTTATTATCCTTTCGCGTTTCAAGTATTTCTTCGTTGTTTATATATTAATAATTCTACAATATTATCAGTGGCTTGTAAATATTATGTGTGTAAACAACTAATCTCAGTACTAACATCGTCTTGCACTGAAATTAATTCCTCTGAGATGAAGAACAACATGTTTTTATAAGTCTTACGGTCCTGTAAATATTTATCTTGCATTATACTTCACAGAAGAAACTGGTTATTACGTCCACTTCATTGCACTGTGTTTAAATGAATCCCATCGTCAATGTAGTTCAATTTTAGACTTTTGCGATCACTCCGATCATCTTCATCGAATTATCGTTCATCGCTATAATCTGTAGTGTCGTAACTTGCAAGCAGCTTTAGCTTTTTGAATGCGAAAATAAGACTTTAGTAAATTAGTAACTTATGAATAATAATCGTACTCGTTTTCCTTATAACGCAACACAGGACCAGCCATGCAATAGAAATCAGTTTTTTACCTGAATGTAATTTCTCTAATTTCTCGAATTTCTCTAATTTTTAATCAAGTCTACAACATTTATTGCGTTGTTCTCTATAAATACAGAAAATATCATTTATAAGATACAGTCCGTAAGCTGATTTCATAAAGACTTCAGAAATGTCCTTTACCGTCAGTAGCTCTCAGTTGACAATGAATTCCCATAAAATCTATAGCCCCGTTGATAAAGTTGTTACCTTGCCTTCTGCTGGCAATGGCACTATTGAACCCACGTAGGTTGCTCGATCGATGCTTACAGCTTAGTTTCTCGATGGATAAATCTTTGCACTCTTAACTCGACCACCTGTTTAGTACCAACAGGTAGAAGTATTGACGCAGGTGCGGCATACGGGGTCAACATTCGTGTCTGTTCACCTCGTCCACAATTGCGATTGGTAGGGATGCTTCTGTCAAAACGTGTGTGCTTCGTATTTCACGAATATTGTGATTAAATGCACGCAATCAGATTAGCTCCGTGGTTTTCCTTGTTGTTCCATTTCTTTTTTTTTTAAGTGGTGCATGTCGTCCAAGTTATACAATGAGCTAGTTGGTGAACCAGACAAGCAGACAGGCACAGCCGAACCATATCCTGGAGTTTATCGATCTGTTTTCATTTCCCAGATGTTGCCGAGGCTATTACGTCGTTAGCGGTATCTCCCGAGGAAATGCACGTGAGCGTGTTATCCCCGAAGCGTGGCAGCATTGACAGTGACAGTGACAGTACGTCAACGGAACTCTGTGATGAACCTGATAAACTGAGTGATGTTGACAGCGAGGAGCCAACTTCAACATCTGATTGCTACGTTATGGCAACGGATGATGAGAAGAGTCCTCGTGCTGGAAATTCACCAGGTTCGACAAATCCACTTCCTCGATATCTTACGGAGGATAAGAGTACGGCGAAGATCTTTGAAGAATTAAAGGTTGAGAAGGATACGAAGTTTCCTGGGTCAGAAGATCATGCTGACGGCTCATCGGAGATCAAAGGAAATTCTGTTGCTGAGATTATCGATCGAATTCGAGAATTATCAGTCGATAATGAAGCTAACGCCAGCAGCTCTCATGGCAACAATGAATCTAAGAATGACGTAACGGTGCATGACTTTCGGATGGATGAAGAGTTTAAATGTGATTCTGAAAAACCGAAAGAAGCCGCCATGAATATTACCTCCTTCACCGCCAGAGATAGTGAGTCTCAGACGAAGAACAGAGCCGTAAATAAAAAGTCAGGGATACTGGATAAATACGAGTTTTTAAATGTAACCGATAGTATGAATGTTCCTAATGTCGGAGCTACGATAGAAGATAGTAAAGTTCCGCTTTCAGGTGCATTTATCACGGTTAAAGAAGAAAGTGTAGCTTCTGATATTAGGGATAAAGACTCTTTCACGGTTGACGTTGGTTCCTTTGGCGATCGGAATTCTGATCGATTTGATGGTGCAAGAAATATTGAATACGATAAGAGCTCTGAAACATTTTTTGAAATTGCCAACCCCTTGGCTAATTCGGATTTTGATAAGAAGCTAGTATCAAATTTACAAGTCCAACGTTTTGACAGCTTGCTAGATTACAACAGCAGTACAGTCGAATCAAAGGATTCGAGCACCGTCGATTCCTCCGTAATGGATAAACTAGACTCCGTATCCATAAAATTACCGCTTTATTCTAAATCATACGTTGTCGGACATCTTCCAATTTCTCCGATAACCGTAGATCAAAAGTTTAATAAATTAAAGGAAGTCGTACAGCCTGCAGATGATTTCGTTTTAACTAACATTAGAGAAGAATTATCAATTAATGTGCTAGAGGGCAGTAGCACCTTTGACACCAGAAAAGACAGTACATCCTTCGTTACGAACAGTAAGATTTCCAATCCATCTGGAAAGCCGTATTATGATGGTAAACATAGTCCTAAAACACCAGAAAGTGGAAAATCCTACAGTTCAGGGGAAACTATGGGTCCTGATTCAAAAACCTCAAGTCTCGCGGCAAGTCCCAGAACGCCACATAAGTCAGAATCTCGTGAATTTCATGTTGAGAAGTCTGGCTGCTCTTCAGTGAGTTCCGAGTCGAAAACATTGACTCACCATTCGATTGAGTCTGACGATACGAGTATTCGTGTTCGATTGGAGCCAAAGAAGGGTTCCCTTGAAAAGTCAAGTCCATCAACACCAATGAGTAGCGACTCATTGAAGAACAAATCAGAGGTGAGTTCCAAGTTCATAGTGAGCAGCTCAAGTGACTCATGCAGTCCTGAAAGAAAAAAGTCCTCCGAAAGGTCATTCAGTTCGGAACTCCAATCGCCGATAAGCGCCAATTCCATAAAATACACGACGAGCTACAAGGGCGCTCAGGATAACTTATCGGACTCCTCTATTGATTTGTGCTCGGCTACTTCACCATTCTATCCGATTGCTCATCCCAATCAGAAGACTCCTTCTCCTTACAGCGTCTCCAAGCAGAAGAGCAGTACAGAAAGCACAGAAACTTCACCAGAGCAGAAATCCACGGGCTCAAAGGATTCTGTGAAATTGTCAAAGCACAGATCAGGAGAAAAGGGCATCGAATCTTCCATGCCTGGTGGGGATGCCGAGAGGATTTTCAAGGAGAACAACGACTACCTCAGGACTGGCGAGGGTTCGATGTGCAAAGAGGACTTCGATTCGGTGCTATTGTCGTCTAGACTGAAATTGAAAAGCGACAAGAGTGTCGATAGTACCTTTGATCAAGAGCACAGCGAGAGTTATAATCGCAAGAGAAGAAAGTTCGGTGACGAAGAGTCTGAGCTTTTGGATAGATTTCCAGAGAAGGATACAGTCTCACCATTACCGCGAGATACGTCAAGTATCCGCAGTCTTTTTGGAGACAAAGGAAGAGGAAGAAGCTTCCCCGAAGGCAGCAGGTCCGATAGAGAATACAGCTATGGCGGGAAAGAATATTTGAAATCGTTTGAACGTAGCAGCAGTAGCTTAGACAAGAGATTCGCAGATCTAAAGTTGTCCGCATCAGCAAATGAATTCGATACTAATGTCGCCAAGAAACGTTGCAGTGATATCCTCGAGGACCTGCGACACCTGGAGGCGAAGAATTCAGCAGATGGGACGGGCGAGACAGGCTTATTGACCAAGAAAACTAGTTATATTATGGAGGACCTGAAGAGTCTGGAAGCGAGACGTCAGGATACCTTTAGTGATTCCGCTAGCGGATTATCAAAGGGCCGACTGGCTGACCTCAGTGTAAATATTATAGACGATGCAAGAAAGTCATACGTGGTTCAGCCGAAGATCCATATAGATGAGAGTAGCGACAGTATTTTGCAGAGTTTGACAAGGAGCAAAGGTGCCAATGAGATTGACGACGATCGTGAATCGAAGCTGGGTGTTTGGACGAAAGTGAAGCCTCGCAAGAAGAGCGACAACGGTCGTAGAAGCAGTGACAGAGCCTTAAAGATAATACAAGAGAACTCGGCGATCCTTCACAAAATTCTCACCTGTCAGGCAAAAAAGCGCCTACCGGATCTCGAGGAGATATCCAAAGAGATAACGATCAGTCCGATAAATGAAGAAATATCGAAGATATTCAGTCCGATCCTTGAGAAGATCGGGCTCAACGAGGACGAGATAAATGAAGAATTGGCGCGAATAAATTTCAAGGACTTTGATCAAATGACAGTGACAAGCGGTTCGGAATTTGATGCGAAGATCAATGACGAATTATCGAAATTATCTCTTATAGATGATACCGAAGAAATTGATCATCTGGTTGTAGACGAGATACTTTCTCGAGACTATTTAGACACTAGGGAGGCTCTGATCGATCGTCAAATAAACGAAGAACTGTCGAAATTACTCGCAAATTACGAAGAGTGTTCGTCGGCGACTATTAGCTGTCGTGAAAAAGGCTCGTCCAGCCAGAATGCAAGCGAAGTAGAAGGGTTAGATCTTTCCAGCATATCGACCAATGTCTTTTCTCACAAGTCATCCGATGATTCAATAGAGACGAGGAGTGAATTAGGATCGGTACAAGAGATTAACGTTAAAGCGGATAAATTTTATCAGTACACAGAAAATGTATTACCATACACACCAACGAAATATAACTTACGTGATATTTCGTCAAAAAGCGACATCGATATTTACCAAGAGTTGGAAAAACTTGATAAAATATCATCCGCTCAAATTGTACCGACCGCGTCTACTGTCATTTCTCCAAAAGCATTGTCGCCACCGTTTTCAACCGATTGTCCTTCATATGCTGATGTTAAATCGTCGGCTTTAGATTATTCGGTCAGATCTGAAAAACCATTCGATTCGTCGTCGTTGAAGAGTCCTTACGACAGTTATAAGCCATACGATTTCAAGTCCAGAATATCGCCTAGAAAAACACCAAGCAATCCATACTCCGTACGTTCCTATGAAAAATCAGCATTTGAAATTACCGATCAAAAGCCGATTTCTTCGTCGCGAAATTATGATCTACCGTCAACAAGGTCGATTCTATCGAAGGAAACGTTAGAATTTCGCGTGCGGTATGACGACGAACCGAGCCAACAGGTCCACGAGGATGACCTGACCTTAAGGCCTTATCAGACAGATTTGGTGGAGCTTGACAAGGGAGCTTCCTATTATGAGAATAAACCAATCACACCAACGAGTTATATTCCTAAGGAGGAATTACTTATAGATTCAGGCATTCCCATGAAAATGGAGTACGAGAAATACATTTACGATAAATTAGATTCGATTCCCAGGAGCCACGAGACGATCACTTCGAAGGAACTTTTCTACGCGAAGACACCGGAATTCGAGAGACAGCCTTACATGTTTCCGCTTACGGAACATGCCACGGATTATGGAAATTTAAACGTACGAAGACGGGAGTCCCATTCTTTGTCGCCGAATCATCAGTTTGCCGATAGAAAATTAACGTTACCTATGGATCCGCGTATTTCGACGCTATCGCCCAGTCTCGAGGACGTGACGAAACGTCCAGTTTCACATCCAGAATTTCCGGACAAGTTGAGTCTCTCAAAGTTTACTGATCTACCGTCAGAGGAACCAAGTAGTAGCAGAAAGTCATCCTTGAGTCTTGGTAATATAGGACATGTCAGTAGAATACCTACACAAGCCTACGACACGTCGCCCAGCATGAAAACGCAATTTAGTCCTTTCCCTGTCAGCAGAAACACTGTTAGAAAACCCAAGGAATTGGGACTGAAATTGGGCCTTTATTCACCTACCAGCTCCGGTGTTGGTCCTTTAAAGCGGTCATAGCGTCCTTTACACTTTAACAATAAGACGGACGAGTCGGTCGAATAACGTTTAGCTTTCTTAGGTGAAGCGTCGGTTGATACTTTACATTGACATCGTTTCTAGCGACTAAAATGAACGTCGCTCATCCTTCCAATTAAAGTTACAACTCCTACTTGTATACATACATACTCGCGTAACAAATTAAACTCGTACACGTTATAATATTTTACGTATATTGTAATGGAACATTTAAACTCTTATTAGGGTTAACAAAGTGGGCCTAAACTATATTGTTACTGAATGCTCTATGCTCATCGGTCTGTTCTAATGGTTTCTAATGATGTAATTACATATGTATAAATGAGAATCCTCGCGGTGTCTGCGTGGCGCGAAATTCAAATGTACAAGCTCGTGCGATGCAGATCCTGCTCGCAGGATGCAATCGTGGCTCGATGGCTTGAAAGTGCATAGAATATATTTAAGGCGATGTATAACTTTATTTTGGATTATAGGATGAATGACGATAAGTGTTTATCGATGAAAGTGGAACTTGTGGAATGAAATATTACTTCAAAGATAAGTAATTTATCAATAATTATCTGTGTACCTACCTGTGTATAATATTCGAGGAGAGGCCTATTGTTGATTCCGTATTGCCAAAATTACGTGATCCAGTCCCTTAATCCAGTGGCGTCAATTTGTAGCTTCGAGTCAGTAATTAGAAACTGCGCAAACTATTGTCTGTGAATAATGATAACGCACTGAAGAATTCTTATCAGTTTCGGCGATTTTAGACCGATCCACAGAAATCTCTTTTAGAGGACACAGATTCTAGGGACGTTAAATGTAGAAAGTATTTATACAGGTGCTTTAGCAGAAAATAGTATAATTAGGATATATACTTTTGAGGCTAACAATCATCATTATGAGTTGCATCTTATTGCAACGTGTCTTTGATATTTCGTTGAATCTATTTCTTTGCTGACCTCAATTACAATGTTAATCTGTTGATTATTTTTCTTATGGCTCAGCAATCTTGTTATATGTTGTTGGCAATGCGCTTTCAGTTTTAAATTAAAATATATGCCTCTTTCTGCGCTTTACCCTCCTCTATTCAAAGCATTAAGCAAAAGAGAAACTTTCACGTCTTTTAGGTTCACTTTGTTCAACTATTTTCTGAGCATATTATTGACAATATACGTACACTTACAATTACCGTGTCGTTCACTAATTTTCGTCACCGCGATGATATTGGAAATTATCATAATCTGTGGCGACACGCGGTTGTAGAACGTTCGATACTGTTATGAATATAACAAGATGGAAAAAACTTGAAAATGAGTGTCTCTAGTTTTAACGGATTTGAGATCTGACAAATCATTAAAGGATCTGTAGGATTTTTGCGCGAGACGAATATATTCTGTTTTCTCGGCTGAATGAATGGATATGTAAAATTGTTGAAGGGCGCTTAATTCGTGAGTTCTCTGTACATACGTAGTTACCGGCGCGAATCACATCCCGACATAAGACTGTATATTTGAAAATCATAATATTGTAAGAAATTAAAAGAAAAAGATACACAATAAAGATATTGACACGTATAACATTTGTGCAGCCTAAATTTTTTAAAATTATTATTTATTAATATTCATTTATTCGGTTACGAGATCAGAACAATACTTTAGTATGTTGATACAGTTCAATGTGATAAGAAAATAATTTTCTTTATGTTACTAAGGTATAACACTATTTGTAGGAATGAACATTACTTACCGTCGGACTCTAATTGACGTTTATTACAAAAATATGTATTTTTGAACATACATCAAGAAAGACGTACGAAACAATTTTTGCACACAGGCTATCAGTAATATTTTATTTTAATGGAATAACGTAATTTTTCAATTTTCTTGGAAAAAGTAGTATTAATCCGTAAAAGCGGATTTTATTCAATTGCTTCAGTCAATCCTTTTACCTTTCGGCTTGCTATATCTATTAATAACTTTCTTACAGATCAGAATCGTCATATAGATAAAAATCATCTTCGTAGTTCCGATTCTCCTGAAGTATTGTCTTTACGTGAGCTGTTCTCTCGTGGGAAATAACGTTGAAAAGATATAACTCGATTGCATCCGTCCGCCTTTTGAAAATCCATACGGTAAATTATGTCGCGTACACAATATTAAATATAATTGATAAATCAGCAAGCAGATAAAAGCTATGAAATAACGTGCGATCTCACAAAAGTTATAACCTCCTAGATTAACCTGCACTGATGACCTCAAGAAATTTAATCAAGTTTCACGTCCCGACCTCTTCGCATATACCACTTCACTTACCTGCCTTATTCCCTTCGGCATGGTAAACTAGACAAGAGTTCGCCAAATATATTCAGACGAATCTCTTAAATCCGCCGGTGCATTCTTTGCCGGCGCGTATTTCATTTTGACACGACGTACATGAGGAGTATGGTGGTGCATGAAGAAAGAAGAAAAATAGCAAGTTTTATTAAGAAAATTTAATCCGCACGAATATTTGCCAGATATCGTATCTTAGTATCTTAAATTTTCATGAACGTAGATTGAACATTTCCGTAATAAAAATACGATCCTACGAATAGAAATTAAAAGGAACATAAAGGATTGAAATTGGAAAGGGTCAAGTTTTTCCTCTTCAAATCTTCAAGCCCTTATTTCGTGTAATTACAAAAGAGATTATGCTAATTGTGAACAAACCCCGCGCAGCAGATGCTTGTCTTATTGGATTTGAATAAAAACTAAGGACAGAAGTAGAGTGTGGGGCAATGGAAAAGGGAGGGACAGGGATTGGAGGGTTGGTGAGATTTTGGGGTTGCGGAGAGGTGAGGAAGAAGCCATTTCTGAACTGAAGACGTTTGACCTCGGGTGCTGGATATAGCTATAAAGTTATCTCAAACAATCAAGTAAGAACAGTCCCCGCTACCCAGAGAAAATTTAATCAAAGTTTCGTAGTTAAACGATATATATATATAGTATATACTACATATATATATTTGCTTAAAGTATTCTCTAAATCAGTAGTCCAAAGAGAATATGATCTGGCGTGGAAGCGAATCGGACACGCAACTTCTTATCGGAGCTCGAATTTCGTAATCTATGAATCGCTTCGATTTCTGACGTCAGAGCGTCTGGAAATGGATGAACTTTTGCCTTCATTAAAAAAGCCATTTCACGGTATACAGTGTCCCAAAATTAACAGACTGGATACGGAATGTTCGATGCATGTGATTGTAACGAGAGGAATTTTCGTTAAATTTAAAAGTGCTAGATGTTTAAATTAAATCCAACCGAAGTTTCCCAATGGTAGCTTCCTTTTCGTATGCTTCTATTTTTTATTGGCAACAACGTGATTGAAGCCAACCACAGATGACTTCTAGGTACTAACGGGAGCAAAGCACCAAATTCTTTGAGAATTATTATGGAGTAAAATAAAAGTTACGAAATTATATTTTGAAATTTACTGCAAGTAGTTAAATGCTTTCTTATGGACAAACCATCTAAAAATAATCATAGAAATGACTAAACGACCACGGCGAGTGTTTTTCTCGATGAACTTTAACTTACCTTTATACATCGAGATATTTTGGAATATATGAAATTCACAAGAGAGTGGTCGCCATGTTAAAGTGCAGCGTGGATCATTGTGCACTTCTATCTCATTCGCTGAGCTTGTTCAGTGGACTGAGTTCAAGTTATGGCCACAACATGGTCTCCTCGGACCTCCCGACGAGAAATCAAGATTCCCCTTAGGGTACGCTACCGTTGAACAATGGCAATGGTCTTTCATGTGGCTAATTTGCATCTTTCTTATTTCTTGCAACTTTCCTATTGCTTAGCTCGGGTTTCCGTATTCCTCGACTTCCTTTATTAACCCCTTCTCAAGGTTTTTTAAACTGCGTCTTGTAGGTTAGATATTATTTCGTCATATCTCCAATCAAACTCCTTGGTTCCCTAAAGATTCATTGCTCCCTTGTCTAAAGGCTAAGACTTACGAAAATAGCCAGAGTTCATTTTCCGCTATTTATGCTTCATATATTTTTTATATATTTTTTTCTTAATTCTGTTTCGCATTGGTGCTTCTTGTAAGATGCCTTCGGTATTTCCTGTATTATCCCTCTCGTCCCACACGACCTTTTCTAACCTCTTCACGCCTCTTTCTTCCTCCCTCATTCCGACTCCTTCGTTCCTTCCTTCATCCACCATATTCTCATTTCTTCTCTTTTAGGGGTTCATTCCGAATTGTAAGTCACATTGCCAACTAAAGGCCATGTAAAAATAAGGGTTACTAGGTAAAAGGCCAGAGTAAGGTAGCATGGCGACCAGCCAATGGAATTAAAAGATCCAATAGATGGTGCCTCGCACGCGACTACAGATTTCGTTCCCGTAAGTGGAAATTCCTATCAAAAAGAGTCCACTGAATTTGGAACTGGTTTCAAATAATGACTTTCCTTAGTCCCATGTATACACTACGCCGGTACATGAGGTTGATACTCACAGTGACGTTAGTGATACTATCGCTACACCAGGGTTGTTTGTAGACTTCTTAGAACTGCATTCAGAGACCTTTGTTCTCTCTCATACTAATAGTTAAAACCATAGTAAGCACAGAGCAAGTTTAAGAACGACCTACTTTATAGTCTTTTTATATACCACAAGTTGATCCACGTGGTTTTATTGTTTTTTTTCCCCTTTATCAAGCAAGCACCGTTTACGTGAATTATTAGCGTTTCGTAATATAATACAATGTCTCCAGTCCACTTCTCGAAACTAGGACAGCTTTTAGCTTTCGTATCAAATTAGAAGACTGTATGGCAGCCCTAACGCAGCATTAACAAGACAATACCCATTGTTCCGATAAGAAGTCGGAGGTACTCGTAGTCGACACTGCTCCTGGACTCGGCACTCCGTTTACTTTATTTAATTACCCACCTATTTCAAGGAAGCGTCCTAGGTATATACTGGGAACATAGGATAATTCCAAGTCGGTAAAAGCATTTCGAAGACGGGAATAAAGACGCTCCTCGTTTCGCCATATAATCGAATTAAAAGCTTCGCGAGCAATTGAACAATTAAGGAATTAAACGACCGATCCTAAATTTTCGACAGATCAATTAGTATCTAACTATATTATACGATTTGAGTGAATATGTCGTCAAAAGTCATCTGGATCCTCATACGAATTGTAGTAAGACCCAAGGTATTAGCAATTTGTTCTTCCAGTAGAAGCACGAGTACCTGACCGGCGGCGGAGTGAACGCATTAAAATTCCATTCCCGTGGAAGCGTCCTTTACTGGGTATAACTCTCTGTTTCTCTCTCTCTCTCTCGTTTCCCTCCCCACCTATCTCTCTCCTCGTCACTCTGAGATGAGTCTGGGTGTTATAAACTGAGGCCCGGAAGGCAAAGTGAGTGAACATGAGCACCGGGAAGTTCGCAGATAGGAAGGTAAGGACGGCGAGGAAGGTAGGGCAGTGACTTAGGACGTCGCGACCTACTAGTTATGGAGATCACGTGACAGTCCTTGCATCCTTAATCAGAGGTATGCACTTTTCTTCGGTGCACTCGACTCCTCGGCACCGCTTCCCCTGCATAATCTCAGGATATTCGTGCATTAATTCTTCATCGGTGTAATACCTCCTCGTGGTATCACGTACGAGCTATTCCTGCACATAGCTATGAGCATATATTTTACAAGTCTATAGAACGTATTATTGAGATTCGCGTTTGCCATGTCCTCCGCTCTTAACGTTCTTAACTCAACTGTCTCCGTGACGTCCTTGCGCACTCAAGTGAGTGCTCTCTATCGTGAATGTCTAATATGCTGATATTAGGACTTGCCGTAATTAGATATACTTCGAAGTACTCTGCCGTTCGAGAGTGTCCTATGTGTCAAAGTTAATTTTCGCCTTTTATCAGCATCACGCGATAGAGACAGATATCTAGAGTAGTTTCGTGACTAAGTGACCATAAGAGGTTAGGTGTACTTGTACTTTATGTCTAATGTACCAGACACAAAGGTTACAGTACATATCTATATCGCAGGATAGTTACAGGAACGATTTTGAGTACGTATTGATACTTATCGAGATCGTCGGTAGATGTCGGGTCAACTGCCATAATTATTTATACGCGACAGTGCGTTCGAGGACTATAAATGGACACTTACGCAGAATTTTTCAAATTTTTCTATCGTTATGCACGTTGTGACCCACATATTTTTTCACTTGATTAAAATGGTAATATTACACGGCTCAAAATGTATTTATGAAAATATATTTCTTTGCCATTGTGAATGCACCTTTAACGTTCGTGGTCCTCGCTATATATATTAGACATGTTTATATATATCTATATGTGACCATACACATGTTGTATGTAAGTAACGCATCCTCTCTCTGGTTGGTCTGCTCTTTATTTTTCTCTGTCTGGCTTGCGCCTGGTTCCAACGCATTCTAATCGTGAATAGGAGTAAATTGGAGACCACTACGGGCACTACGCGTTCACTGAACGTACGACTACTATACGATATAACAGTCTAGCCCCTTTCTCTCCCAATGCTTTTCCTCTTTCTCTTGGTCCTCCCTCAACTCCTCCGGGGAACTCAATCTCCATCCGTTTCCATTTACAGAACTACATTGAAAGGAGCGTGGGCTTTTCAAGGTGTACACGAAGCTTAGATCGAGATGTAGATGGTCCATCCTATGAGTGTAATCCGAGCCAATCCTATACCTATTGGAATGGCGCTTTATACCCTTCGCCAACGAAAAGCCGATTCCTCGGTTAGCGATATCACATTTCCGGAGAGGTCCGACTTTTTGGCGTGTCACGAAACTTTGGAATCCATTGCTCAAAAGAGATGCTGCTGCCTATATGATCCATTTTACCTTTCGTACCAAAATACCAATTCCTTTAGACTTTTAACAACAACGATCCATTTCTCGTTGTGAGATACATCGATTGTTACCTCTGAGCTTCTTTGATTCATTAAAGTTCTGTATAGGATTATTAAGAATGAATGCAAGGGCGCTAAAAAAAGTATTCGGCTGGAATGGATGAAAATAGACAATTATCAAAAATCGATTTAGTACTTTTTTTTGTTCGTGTACTTCCGGGATGCATGTGAATTACAGAGTCGAAGAAAAATATTCGATAGAGTTTTTTTGCTTATTGTCTCCTCCTAAAAGTCATAGCCATTCAAGTATTAATCTCTCCATTTTAATCAAGTGGACCAACACGCGTATTTTGTGCGTAACAAAAAGTAACTGCAGAGCTAATTGCGTTGAAGAGATGTTCGAAGAAAGACGCGCGAAAGGGAAAAGGATGGAAACAGAACGAAGTACGAAGAGAAAAGAAGGAAAAAAATTAAAATCTTATGAAATGAACCCTTTCCCCCATTTCCGTGAGGCACCGTTTCCCTATAAAGGAGCTACTGCCCCACCGTGATTCAACTGCGGACCGTTGTTGGGGTAAGCCCAATAGCCGCAGACGCAGAACACGATACAGATATAACGATTGTTGAAATAAGGTTTGTAGCAAGCTACAAGAAGACATATGTGTAAACGCCTGGATTAAGCACTTTAGGATGTTACGGTAGCAGACGCAGAAAATCGG